CTCGGGCAGCTTTTCCGGTGGTTATGAATTATGACGAAGATGATGTGGGGCACTTTCAAGGGCACAGATGGTGATCAAACCTTGTTGGATTTCCTTCACTGTTCCTGAATTGCCTCACCAACCCGCTAGTAATAAACGTTTCCTGGTTGTTGGACAAAGCATACATTCATCTATGTAATTTCGGTTGGCTTTCACAAGTATCACACCTAGTACTCAATTGAAAAAATCACGAAGCGTTCAAAACTGTCCGATTTCTATGACAAATAGACAAGGTTGTTTAACATTCATAGGTTTTCTTTCCGTTACGGATTGGACAAAAACTTACATGTCGTATATTTGACTATTTTCAGTCTGCCACGACTTTGGTTCGTCTAGAAATTCTTGCTTTTACGATAAGAGTATTATCCAACTGGCTGGTTCCTTACATCAGCCCTTCATGAACTAATAAGAGGTTGTGGTAGTCCGAAACAGAAAGCTCAGTTCACCAAACAGGCACATTAAAAACAAAACTTGAAATAAGATGCCATTTCTGAGGGTGTCTTGGTGAATTCATCATGAAGGAACGAATACATAGTTTGAGTCAGCTACCTTCCACAACAGCTAACCTCCTTGAGACGAGGGGACTATGGATTCAATCTACTTGTGTGCATACTGATCTCGCGTACACACTTGTCACGTACATCTGTTCTGTGATGTAGATGCCCTCGAAAATGGGGATGCGGTCAAGGCGTGTGTGAAAACACGTCAGAGCACAATGTCTGTGAATTTCGTAACCTGTAGCACTGGACGATGATTCTATAGCTCTGCTTAGTAGTGTTATTTTCAAGCATATATTCCCCATGAGAGGCCCCTACGCATCAAGGAGTCACTCTCAACTGCTGTGTAAAAAATGGATTGGTACTGTACTATTTTGTCGTCAGATGTTTGGTTAAAGCTTAGTTGGGGCTCTTTCGTGAAGGCATTTCCATTTCTGTAACAAACAGACTTTCTGTTTCATTTCAAGTACAAAGTCGCGTTTTTAATCAATGAATGAGTTGACCTGTTTCGAGGTCTTCGTTTGCCATACATTTTACGAAGTGCTTGATCGCGAACACATTTTTCCCGATGACATTGTTACAGCAGACGAAAGTTGTTGCATTGTATTCCGCTTACACGTATGCCTTGCATTCATCCCAAAATGCATGCTAAACTTTATTCTATCCTAAATAATATGGGTTATGGTATTTATTTTCTGTGGTTTAAACATGGTCTTTTGAAAACCAAACCTATTAAACCGATTTCTAAAGGCTTCAAGTACTTGTAAATCAACTTCTCTGCAATCTCTACCCCTTTCCATTAAAGTACATCAAACTCTAGTAAATGTTCCCACGTTGTTTGGGTCTAATAGTCACGAATTGTTGGTGCTTGGGAGTTGACTTTGCTTGCCCCAGAAACACTGATGTGGATGGCTCTGTTCGACCTGCATTTTACGTTGCGGCTGCAAAGTTTAGTATGGTAGCTCATTTATTCTTTTTATGCTTTTAACCACTTCATTGTATCTAGGCATATACACATCGGTAGATATGTTAAGGCAAATTCCTGATGAGGTTTTGGTGCAGCTGTCGGTAGGCATTCCCATGTCCATCCTCTCCTATGAATGAATTTTCAAACGCTTACTTTTAAATACTGTCTTTGTGACCGGAATTGGAATCCGTCTCACCTTAAGCTAGAAGGCAATTGTTTTTCTTAATCTCCCGTCTCCTCAGCCCACAGGAATAGAGCTTCTGATTTGCATCGCTAATCCCGTTGTCTTAGTAAGAGTTTGGAATTTGGGTGGGAGGGGAAATAGGGCGAATACGGATGAGACAGAAATGGACTGAGCGAAAACAGCCGAAAGCCTTTGCGTCCCCCTTGGGACAAACTGACACAAACACACACACACATGTGCAAGCAAGCACACAAGCACATACGTACAGTAGTGTGCTTATGTCGGGCCAAACTCAAGTAATCTGGCCCAAGTAATTATAACTAGTCACTGCACTAGTACTGGCGACACGAAGTTGAAGTCACTAGCAGTAGTTATCCTGCAGTAAACGGACTCTAATTCTGGCAGGTTCGCCACACTTGCGAGATGCTTCCCTCCCCCCTAATTTTTACAGCCGAGAAGCTCACCTGGGGCCCCAACAGCTGTCCGTCTCTGCTTTTATGATATCACACGGCCTTATTGCCATCAGTAATACCTAAACAAGCTTACACCCGATAGTACCACGTTTAGGTACTTGAAGGCGTATTATAAAGGCATTTGACGCCATGACCAACAAAACACCAATTCAGGGAAAAAAATCATCATGTCTAAGTTCGTAAGGTGTCTGCATATTTTATCTCAACCCTCCGAGGCTCCTTTCCTTCACTCGCCAAATCAGCTGCAAATTCATGCTGGAATAGTGAACCTGGCTGTTCTCCCTATCTCATTAGACAGCCACAAAATGCGTAATATTGAAAAGTTTCTCCTTAGTCCTAAAGTTGAGAATTTCATAGTGTCCGCACAACTTAAGGAACCCAATCTACCTTGTGACGTATTTCGGCCCAACCGAGTCGCCCGCCTTGTGAATTTGGATGTCCATCAAAAATTACACTACTTTTATTTGGGTGATGCGGTGCCGCAGGAAAGCAGGCGCACTCTGAATTTGCATTGTCTTGTCGTTATACCCTGCAATTTCTGTGGGAAATAGAAATTTTTGCGTTAACGTGTGCGCTTGTACCACGTTACTTCGAATGTCAAAGTGTAGCTGCTCTATAACAAGACTTCCATTAGTCAAGAAGAAGGATTTGTCGAGTTAATGACGAATCTTGTGTAATAAGATAACGGCATGGGAAGTTTGTCGAAAAAAGTTTCTGAGGCCAAACACATTACTAATGTAATTCTGTAGGATGGTTTGAATCCCACGAAATCCCATTCATACATAAATCGACGGAAGAAATTTTGGGTGGTTCGACCGAGTACCCTCCATGAGTCTTTTGAAAACCGGAGGACCACTGTATTAACCGAAAGAACGTCAGGGTGCCTAAATGATTAAATGCGCACTCGTTGAGTCTAAAGCGTGGCTCTGAGGAATGCGACCAAAGCAGAATTGAACAGCCCGGTTTTGTTGAGATCCAAGAATCCTTCGTGGTGAACATCTCCGTTCACAATATCACTCTCTTAGTGTAGCGACTCGATATGATTTTGAAGATTCAAGGTCGCTTAAACACAAATTTGAAGTTACTGCTGTTCGCAAGCAAGAGAATCAATTTGTTTAAGTCGCCGACTTTAATCCCGAGGCACTGAGCTCATTCGACTGTCCTGTGGCCTCCCAGCTCATAAGACCAAAATATTCGCTGATTACTGCGAAGCACAAAACTCGGTTGGTGCTTCGACCATTCTTTTCAACTTCACCCTTTTTTCCTATTTATCATGTCCGTCAAACTTGCATCTCTGAGGTCCGGACTTCAAGCAAACGGCAACTCTCGAATCGTCACCTAAGTGTCTACATTTTCTTTGCAATGTCTCTAAAATCTCAATGACATGAAATTGGTAAATTCTACAATAATTACATTGTTGACAAAAAAGATCAGAGCCTCTCAAGACTCCAGAATTGCAGCTGCCATTAAAACAGGGTACATAAAAGCACAACTTCCAAATCCCAGTGTACCTGTGTGTGTGTGATCTTGGTTCAGAACGGGGTGTTTTCTTAAGGCGGCACACAGCACGCACGCGTGTGCGTGCCGTGTTGTGGAGTGTGAAGCAGAACAGCAGAAGAGGCCGATGGAGATTTGCTACATTTGATGGAATTGTCCATCAGCGTCTTTTGCTGCTGCTGCTGCTGCTGCTGGTGGTGGTGGTGGTGCATCGTCGAGGTGGGTAACAGGTTCATTGGGAAACGAGGAGGGTGTGCGAGCTTGCCTGTGGGTGTGTGTGTGTGTGTATCCGCTACACAAATGTCGATCGCTACACGCACGTGTTCTTGTCTAATCCTAAGGATCACAATCGATTCAATCCTGGCTAGTTATTTTTACTTAAACTTAAATTTATCGAAGTTTACTTGCGGTAATTTTGTACCCCTTCAATACAGTGTAAACTCTGTTAGAGGAGTGAATGTCCTCTGGATAAATGATCCCAACTTTGAGACTGCCAATTATAGTTCTCGGGCAATGTCAATGAAGCGGAAGTTAACGTACTGTTAAGCAGCCAAAACTCGCACAAGCCTTATCCCCAGAGTGGCCTCAAGCCACTTCGAAAGTCCGCAATACGCAAAATGCATCTCACTAAAGTTAATCGGTACATATGTTTTAGAGCATTTGCGAGGTTGGTGATGTTTCTTCATTCCGAGGTTGAAGTCACAATACATTTGGTTGCTCCCACAATACAAGGGTGTGCGCGTCCATTGCAATTGGACTAACGGCAAACACATCTACGCCACCTTGATGAATTTTCAAAAAGTCGCGGTTTGACAGGTCTCTCGAGTTGATCATGCAGGTTCCGCAGTACCCTCTTAAAAGCAACTGGGAAAGGAAGTGTTGCGGAGAATAATTGTGATGATCGACGAAAATGTCAAGCATAACGGGTCATTATGTAATGGTTCACTGTATTTCTCACATTTTTTTGTAAATATGACGGGAATTTCAACTCTTCTTCAAATATCCGATTTCCCAATGGCTCGTTGCAATGATGACGGATTTCGTAAGGATGGTAGAAGCTTCCAGACTTACCTGGTCTGACCCTCAAGCAAAGCTTCTTAGTTGAATGTGCGACTTACCAAGGCTTCTCTTTCTAAAATCCTCCTCAGAGATGTATTTTAGGAAGTCAATTAAATTTCGCGAATTTCAGCTTATGAACAACTATGAGGCTAGATCTACATAGAAACTAAAACACAGATGGTTAAGCGAAAAACGAAAACTGACTGTACCATGACGACTTGTTTTCGTGTTTATTTCAATTCGCCTGGCATTAAGTTTGATGATTTCGTTGTTAAACTTTAGCTTGCGGCAGTCAACAGCCATCCACCAATGGCCCCACTGCTACAAGAGAAGGTCCAAAAACCAAATCCACTGATCGTTTCTACGCCAGCACAGCACCACCGGCAGCTGATGAAGTCTATCCCCAGCCTCCGCAAATTGGATGCTATTCGAGCTCAGAGGGCACGGGCTTCCTCGAGGGGATCTTCAACGCCACGACTCCTGAAGGCGCCTTGGTCTCGACAGCCTACGAAAGCCACAGCCAATATGGCTTCGATCCTGTGACTGGCCACTTCGTTGCTCCTGTCAGCTTTTTCCCGCACCCAAACCAAGGAGAGCTTCTGACACCCCATCCCATAGCATCCGCTGATCCTCAGTCCGTTGGAGCGGGCCTGAACGTTAAGCATCACCATCAACCTCAGTTGCACGAACAGCCAAGGACCCTGGAAGAAACCGCTTCTAGTACGCCTTTTTAAACTGATGCTTTTTGCTAATGCATTACTGTTGGAGTCACGCTGGTTTATCGTGCATCTTTTATCCGTTCTCGTACAATTATCGTACCTACCGTATTTTCTGCTCAAGCATTTCGTACGTTTTGTGAGTCTTTTTGACTTATCCACACATTAGCTTCAAATCCCTTTAAGGCCGTCTTGTCTGACCCCAACTTCTGTTATATTTCTCTAATTTAATACCTTTAATACCGTTTAAAACTGAAATTGCACTATGATTTCTGGCTGATGTAGTCTAAAGGTTAAACTAAATCGCCATCCTCAGAAACTCCCTCTGATTCTTGGTCTTTTCCATGCCCCCTTTTCGGACATCAGTCTTGACTGGTCCTGTCTCATCAACGCACCTTAAAACCCCGCCCGTATATCCAATCTCACCCACGAGAGAATTGATTAGGGATGCCCTACACCACTGCCACCCTCCACTGACAATGTCCATCAGCCTTAGGTCATGGTGGTGCCACACAGGGCATTTTCACAGCCCCAGTAACAAGCGGCTTTCACACATTAGATCCCACCTAGCCGTACGCCCACTTTGTTTTCTAACAATCACGGCACAGATTCGGCAGTTGAATTGACTCGCGAGTTAATTGTGGTGGTGGTGGTGGGTGGGGGGAGTGGGGGCTACGCCACACACGCACACACACACCTGGCCCAGTTGCCGTCTCTCCCTTCGCACACGCGTGCGCGAAACCCATAAAATTTGACATCATTTATCACTTTACGATGAAGCCTGTGAGTCCCAATTACGGACAGGTGATTATGCGGTTTTCGAAGGGGAGGGACATTCTGTTTGCAAATTCTCCTCGTCAATAGGTGCGTCTAGAAACCAGTTAAATTAACCCAAACACATCAATACTGGGTCGTATTTTACCATTTCAATTCACATCGATCTTCCTTAAGTGGGAAGAGGGACTGCTTCAACAACTTGAGCTGGTCTTAACTTAACGCTGAAGGACTGAGGACGTGTGGTTCAGCGACTATGGAATCGCTCAGCCACACAGGACCCACATGGTAGTGTGAGAGCTCAAAATCTGTCTGACTCTCTATTCTAATTCTACTGTTGGAGTCACTAGCAAAGCGTATCTAAAACTGAGCCCAAAAACACTGACCACAAGTCACACAAACACCAAACCCGATCCGTAAGATCGCGATGGCCAATATCGTAGAAACAACCCTGCTTCAAACAAATGTCTGAGCATTTTTTACTGGTTTGTCAAAGTAAACTAAGTACAAACCTCATATTTCATTCATTTAATCATCAGTCAACAAAGCAGGATTGACTAAGATTTGGACTTAGCATTGTCTCGATTTGGTTGCTTTGTCTGAGTTTCGATATGACTGAACACCGATCCTTTCCATCCCTAGATAAGCAGGATTTGGGACTTGGGCCTTCTGGCTTTATGCACGATTTCAGTCCATGACATGCCGTTAATACTAAATCAGTTCAATTGTCACAACCAAAGTTTCCCTTTAATTCCCACGTAGAAGTCAGTAGATGTTTCAGCTTGGTAAGAATTTCGGTGCCACATCAACCGCCCAACTGAATTAACTTGAGTTGTTTCGACTGCTCTTCCCTCTTAACGGTCACAACCTGAGAGGCTTGAGAGGTCTCACTAGCATAATTTCCCCTAGTCAAGATCGACATGCGATCCCGTATCTATTCAACTTGAATGGCTCCCGAGTTACTCTTGGAAACAGTTATAACGTTTTTATCTCCTACAATAGATTACTATTATTATTATTATCATCATCATCAGTTTTATTTTGGGACAGATTGAGATATCCCAGGAAGCCAGCATGTAATAACTTCCAAGTGGAGGATTTTCTCAAGTAGTGCGAATTTGACTCTAGCGTCACGTTCCTGTGTGCTCGATTCACACTCAGCTTGGCAACGAGTTATGTGTGCCGCCTTTTGTTTAAATTCCATTCTGCTATGTGAATTGAGTTTTCGTGAATGTAACCCGATAACCGGATGATTGTAAATGCGTTAAGAACGTGAGTATAGGAATAAAATTTTTATTTTATTTCGAAGGCAAGCGTCTCCAAATCTTCGAAAGGAGCAAAACGCAAAGCGCGTTTCCATAGATAATCTTCAGCATTCGTAGGAGAGGTAGGTTGAGGATGCGTTTACGCAAAATCAGATAAAACCCCGAATTAGTCGCTTCATTCAGGCCCTCAATTGTACACCGCCCCACTCGTCGGGTTGATAAAAAACCACCAATACGTTGCCTCCCCGTTGCCTCCCCGCAGAGTCCAATTGGTTAAGTCTGGTGTGTGCGCGTGCGTCTCTTATAAAAGAGCGCAGTTTTAAACATAACTCAGGTTTACGCGAATGTGCGGCCATTCGCGTGCAAGCATATCGGTTTTAAAAGCAGATTGTCAGATAGCGCTACTAATGTCCACTTGCAAACAATAACAATATAAATGTGTGTGTGTGTTCGACAGGCTTATCGTAGTCGCAGCATCTCGTCCGATGCCAGATTGAAAAACGCTGAATTATTTAACGACCACCCCTCCCATTTTATCCACTGTACCTAGTAAAACAGTGTGCACTTGATTATTGTTGGCCAAACATCATAAGGCCGAGGAAGAGGAACCTAAAAATTAGAAATAAGTTGAAGCTGTGGCCTCTAAAACATTACTTGAGCAACTGCTCACCAAATATGATCATGAGGTGTTTGTAATATCAACTCTAGAGAGAAACTGCTGCAGCATTTACATTGAAATTGAAGTCTTACCACTGAATCAAGGCCGTGTAATCACCCATGATAAAGTTCTTGTTTACATTACGGGTAGGGAATTTTTCAATCAAATTTTCAACATTTTTACAAACTACAGCCAGATGTCGCACATTGTCTTTTCCGGGTTTTCTTGTCATAACATGATAGCAGACCAGTTTTTTAGGACAGTACGGGTTTAATTCGACTTGTGATATGTCCCAACTTACCAAATCGAGTTGTTTTTTTCTCCTCGAATCTAACTCCTCAAGTATATAAAACACTTATTTTGATTTCTTCAACGATATGGCCATAGATTGGTTGATTCGCGATTGCCGCTCGTGGTTTAATGACCTTGAGGATGAATTGCCACTCTCCTTCTCGCCTAAAAACCTCTTTCGTTAAGCTGTAATAAAATTGCATGCAGGCCGGGAAAATATAAATTAATAAACAGACCTCTCTCGGTGGTGCCTGAGGTCAATTTTCGTAGACGACTTGATTAAGTACCATACAAGTCTTAAAGCCAAATCGGACCTTAACTGATTTGTGCCTAACTTTCTGTATAATTGTGCAGACAACCGAAGGCTTTGTAGGATTACGCGTATTTTTATTACCCGAGTAAACACTTCACAAGCACACAATCGCTTCTTCCGTGCCACTACTGTTTCGGCCTCAAGTACTACCTGGCAAACAAAGCGACTAGGCTTCCGCAATAAGCAATGCTTATCTCACTTGCCCACTTATAAGTCGAGTGCTTGGTGTATGATATTCCCTTGACTGCACAACGATGGTCGGTTTCACACGGAGGCAGCAAGCGGGCTGCAGGAAGAGGACCATTATCGCCTCTCAATGTGATTGGACAGCACTGCTAAAGACTGCAAATTGTGTTCACCCCTGCCCGCGATGGTTATCCACGCGCACACGATACTTATCACCGCTGCAACTCCACCCCCTCCCCAACTTCGCGTCTCTCTCCCTCGAACCGCGATTTCATTGGTTCTCGTGATTAAGCGCATAACACTTTTACTGACTTAATCGAATCCTTGCAGAAGCGCAACGCCAATTTTGACCAACAGCTCCACTATTTCTGAAAGGTAGCAACGAGGAAAACCAAGCATTAGTCAATAAACGCACTTATTTGATTGGGATGCGCTTCATGATTGCCAGGACAATCTCATGACGTTCGTGCTATCCCAGTCTGGTAGGGGTTGGTGCCGATACACAAGCATATGCTGTAGGGCCCAAACACCGAGTAACTCTGCAGTGTATCATTTGGACGCACGGTAGCAGGAAAGAAATGACACGAGCGTCTGCACTAAGTTTTACATTTTTCCCATCATAACAACAACCCGGTGTAGAAATTCGTACTAGAGTCACTACCTTCAATTTATCAATCAATGCTGTAACCTTGTCAAATATTCAAGCATTCATCATTTACCTACGTAACGAGATACGTAACAATAACTTTATTGCTTACAGATTTAACGAACCAAACAGATGGATGGTTTCGTTTCTAGCTTATCGAACAAGGGTGCCATTGCAGTCAAAACCAATGCTGGGGTGAGGGGTGGTGCATTGAGGTTGGAAGAAGAGCAGCTGTCATTTTTCGACATGATTACTGGGACACGAGTTCCTGTGGCTGCGGCACGGCCATATTTATTTTCACTATATGACGTGAATGCACACTTAGGTGTAGTGTGCACAAACGTACGATTGGTGCTTCCTCGCGCCTTGGTATGGTTTTCGGACAATGATAATAAGGTGTCCCAGATGTGAGGACGAGTAAGCACGCCTTCTTACGCGAATGCAAGAGGGCGCGATTGCGTAACCAGATGGTGATCGTGACGTCAATAGCGTCTTTCATGGTTCCGCGTCTCGCACCTCCACCACCGCCCAAACACTTTCAATCCACGTCCCTACAGCCTACGCTAGGTTACCAGTCATCAGTGAGGTAGCACACCTCGATTTATTGCTAGCCAGTTTCTCATGAAAGAAGGTGATTTTGACCTAAGATGGGAGTCCCTGATGTTTACCATGGGGACCCTAGGTCTCTCTGAAATGATGAATTTTTAATTGCTGTCTAAAAGCTCTCCACTATTTTCAAAGTTAACATCAGGGGCACGGCTCACTTTATTACTATGATCCTCATATTTACTCACCCACCGAATCGCACCCTCAGCGTTCAATTTGAGCAGGCGAGGAAGACAAACCATCAATTAGTTTTATTACCAAACGAACAATTTTGGTAATTAGGCTCACTACACGTGCAATAAGATTTTTATGACTGTTGATTTTAACCCGTAAGAGTGGCGGGCCTCAGTAATCCCCGGAAATGTCGGGGAGGTGTAGACTCTTACAATTTATGATTCGAAGCTGATCTTAGGGGTGGTGGGGTAAGGGAGTAAGAGATGAGATTCACTTTGGTAGTCGGTGTGAAATGAGTTCACGTATAAAAATATCTAGCTGATTCTTAACAGATGCCACAAAATATGCTCCCTCTTCTTCAACTTTACAAATTGTCTGCTGCCTGGTTGTAAAGCTCAGAGATTTTGGGCTACTTTTAAGAATAACTGGTTAGTAGTAGTAGTAGTAATAGTAAACGAGCCGTAATTTTTATCGAAGAGTTTGTACACTTCACACATGATAAATCGTGTGTCCTGATAAAACGATCGTTTTTTAATTTTTTCCCAAATTACTGGAGTCCCCACAGCTTTGTCATGGCAACGAGTCACTCCAATCATACACCCCTCAGTTCTTACATGACCCTGACTAGCAAAAGTAGCAAGGGTCTAAATCTAGTCAAAGAACACATCGAAGTCACATAGATTAATATCGAAATCACTCCTTCTTTCATTTCTTCCCGAGTCATTGGGCTTTCTGTGTACATCGGCAACGTGTCATGGGATGCTATCCGAAATGGTACACCACTACCGCTCAACTCGTGGCTTCTTCATGATTAATGGCCAACTGAGCTGACTGATGTGCAACATAACAGCAACTACAGAAACGAACATTTTAACCCTGGTTGCTTGGTGTGATTAAAAGTGTTTACTATTCCACAAAATAAGGAGGTTACGTCGCGGCTTGACTTGGGGGGTCACGGGGTTCTCACAGAACTTCGTCGCTTACGGGACAGCCGTAGCAACAAGACTAGAATGAACTTCCTGTAATTAACTGCGCAAAAACTTAAATGTTTCTGCTTTTGCTGCCGTGGAGAACTCATCGGGTCAAGTGGTAAAATTGTTACAATTTACTTAGTTAGCGGCAATTTAAAAGAAAATTGATTTAAGAATACGACATAAATTCGAAGGCAAGACAATATCCTCGTTATTGTGTTTACATAAAAACTCGGAACTTGCGCCTTGCGTCCCATAGTACCGCACGAAATTACTTTAATGGCTTTTCCAGATGATGAAATGAACCCGAGCGCTAAACTTAGATCGTACCCTAAGTGCTTTTTCTCAAACATCGATTTTCTTCTTAGAGCAATCAATCCGTGACGTCACCAAGTGCATCTAAACTTTATTGATACTCTGCTAGCACGCTCCATGTCCTAGATAAGTTAGCGATTATCTTTGCATCGTGAACTTAAAAGTCATGGAGGTTTTATTAAGCCACAGTGTTGCTGCCATTCACCAGACTGTTAAAAGTTTTCCCTGACTTACAGTCGATGCTATAATCGAGGCGATGTTTGAAACACTTGCCAACTGACCACCGATGCCGACACCTTTAATTAATTCTTGCTTCATAATCAGCCGAATAAAGTGAGTTTGGTCAGGCGCTATGAAGGCCTGGCAACTTCTGCATTCCCTCAACACTTGATTGCATTAGCACAGCGAAATTGTAATACCTAGACGCATTCAACTAGGAAAGTCGTCTTGGAATGGTGAAAAAAGTTTTGTTCCAAACACCTGCATTACAAATTCACGTACTAACTATGCAGCTGATTTCGATGTTTTATTGTACTCAAACTATTTTTCTTCATAGTAGGTTCAAGAATCAGACACTAAGAACCTCGGTTGAATTAAAAACCAATTTTCTAGTCAGTTCCTCAAACATTAAACAACTTCTGATTTAACATCAAATAACGTCTTCCAGTCTTATAAGGCCAACTTGTTTGGAAGTAAGAGACCCTAGAACTCTACTATTAGCTGTCGTGGTTACACAGGCGTGCAAATACGTTTTGTTATGAAGTTTCATTCCAAATAATAATAATAATTGCCTACTCCCGACTCATGAAGCCCTGTTTTGTGTGCAACTTCAGTTTCATCTAACAGTTCGGTCACCGGTGCAGGCGCTATCACTACCTGCGCCTACTTCTGGCAGTACAACGCCCAGTGCAAGGGTCCCAAGGCGGTTCGGCTCATCAGCGGTGGAACCAACTCCCCGCTCTCCAGTGCCACCAGCCCCCTTAGTAGTTGCTATGACGGCGGAGGTGGTGGGACCAGCATGGCTAATGTGGGCAACTGTTCGATTGCCGTTCATTCCCTGCCCCAATACCCTCTTGTGGTGTTCGAGGACCCCGTCCAAAAGCGCAACGATCTGGTGCATTGTTCGAAACTGCGCCGAGGCGATGGCAACGATGTGACGCCAAACATAATGCGGCTTCGCTCGATGGGCGACGAGTTGGACCGGCTAGCGGCGCAGATCACTCGGCAGGGCGAAATCATCATGGCCGGTGGCGGTGGTGGTGGTGGTGCGGGCGGCGGGGGGACGGAGATGCCAGGAGTCGTCCGGTCTGCCCCCTTCGATCTCGAGACCGTGGGTCCTCCTCCCTCGTGGAGGGTTGAGGAAGCCAAAAGAGAAAAAAATAAGTTGGCGAGCAAGTAAGTCTACTTATCTCAGTGTTCTCATTAACAAAAGTGGTTTATGATAGTCTTTTCATCGATAATAAGACAATTTTTAAAAAAAGGAAACAAAGTTTGGTGAAAACGACACATGCACTTGGCAGATGTGGATTTGAAGGCACTTAGCCCGAGTTTAATTCATGGGCATTTTGTGTAACACCTGAGATGAAAGGTTTAAGTAGTAAGTCCTTGTAGGACTGTGGCGTTGCTCACTTATGCTTTTTACTACAGGATCTGCCGACTAAAGAAAAAGGCTTTCCACGAGTCAAACAAAATCAAATACACTGGTCTTGGACTGGAGTACAGTAAGTATTGTCAAGTGCATGCTTCCCTCAAGATCAAAATTGTTTATTATTAACAACTGTTATTATTGCTGACAGGGAATTACTAATGAATTACACTAAAGTGGGTCATCAAAGCACTTTTTAATGCCAAAAAAATCAGACAAACTAGCATTGACTCGTCGCATTCAATCCGGTACAGCTCGCACTCATTCCACGATCTTTGTTGGTGGGAAGTAAGGCAGCAAAGCAGGACGACCACTCGATTTCGGCAGGCCTTGACGCCGCGACGCAGTCGCAGGGGCGCCGTGAAAGCACACGAGGATCCCATGACAATTGCTCTATTGAGCGGTTACAAATACTTGTATTGACCATTAGACATTTTTCTGGGTTATATGCAATCACCCTGAGTACTTATTATCCTCAAAATACTTAGGGAGTAAACACAAGCTTCTAGGCTTGGATTACCACTATCTCGGACATGACAATATTCTTTAACACAATCTATGCCTGAAAGTCGAATCAGATTTTTGAAGTAGAAACAAGGCACAAGGACCTAAAGCCACTATCGCTAGAGCTAGATTTACCAAGGGCTCATAGATGGGGTTTTGACATTACCCTATGGTGTCAAACTGTTGTAAACAATAGCATAGAATAATCGAAATCCCACTTTCTCCTCCCCAAATGTCCAGTCTTCCCGACGTCAAGCAGAAGGCCATCCACACAGCGTTATCGATTTACCTTTTACGTGAAAGAACCTATGTCTGGGATTACCGATTAGACGGGTACAGAGACAGGGAAATTTAGACGGCAATCGCGCGCCTACATGTGCGTATGCATACATGTATGTATACAATAAGGTCCACAGGCCATGCAGTTCGTTATGTTGCATGCAGGATGTGTGGTTAATTACCATATGTGTGTGTATGTGTGGAGAGAGGGATATGCATTTATGCTGCATCTGTGTGCGTGTGTGCGTGGGTGCCTCGAGGCGTCAGCTACTCCGGACGACCACCTGGTCGGGTGGGTGTTTGCTTTCACTGCGGCGCTACGCACGAATACTTGCGTAACAATCACTTCCCGTTTTGAACCCAGATCTCGACGACATGGAATCCGTCGCGATCAACAAGGAGCTTTGCGGGTACCGACAAAAATGTACTTTGAATCCCCTGGCTACCGAAAATGAGTATTACTGAAAATTGGATCATGAAGTTAATTGAATTAAAGAAACAAGTCATTCGGGTCTTATCAAATTTGGTCATTAGATCTAACGAGAATTGACCTTAATTGTTAACTAGATGCAATTGTTCCTTAATCCACGAAAATGTTCGAACTGAGGTTTTTGCCTTAAAACCACGCTTGGTAGTTGCCATGCAGCTCAGCGCTTTAAAAGTCCTTTCAATGGATACGGGTACAGTTTGATGATCAGACGCGGAGTTGGGTCTGAAGAAGACATGATCATGCTCCTTTCACAATGCGCTTATATTAATTCCTTTTTCCCATAACTTTTTTTGATTAAGTAGAGGCATTTTGAGTTAAACTTTCTGAGAAAAGGCCGACAATTTAACCAATAATAAACACGATGCTGCTTAATTGGCCGTAGTACAGAAGGGGTAATTTATCATGAAGCAGTAAATTTAAAAGGTTGTCTTTGAGATTCTATTGGGTTGCGAATTTTGTCTAGTTGAAAACGACGAACTCACTGGCTCATTAAAGAACAAAAAAATATAGAAACCACGGAGAAAAGGTACATTTGAAAGTGTGTAGGGCACGCACCAATTGAGAGAACTTGATGTTGCTGACACTCCAATTTGGCTCACGTCCACGTGACTACCACTCAGGCGGAGGCCTTGTGTACAAACTGTGCACAAGGCCTGAGCCGCAGCGAGCCGAGCCACGCGCAGCAATCGATGCGCCGCCCCGCCTCTGTTTGAGCGCCAACAACTTCGCTGGGCCCGGGTGGTGATGGCGAAGTTGACAGATGAAAGGGAGGCATCTCCCACTAAGAATCTGCATTTAGAGCATGTCAATAGAGCAAATGAGAGATGCAGTGGTTAGTAGTGCCTTTCGCACTATTGCTACCACAATCAATATGACAAATTTTTAGCAGCACAACTGTTTAGCCAGGGAATGAGTGCATGTGCATCCTGGTAGTGGAAATCAGTTACTTCGACCTTCAGCCTGTAGGCCGTTGGTCGAGCTTGCCTCAGTTGAGGATGCTGGGAGATCCTCATATTCAGGGCTATATTTGAATGATCAATCGGCATTTAATATTCGACAGTTTTTATGCGTGGCGAAAAATAAATCTTTACAGTGCAGACAACTCTGATAAGACCAGGCCTGCTAATTAGGCTCAATTTGCATAAGCCACAAGCCACTGTTGGTTTAATTGAATTGGGTGGAGGGGAGGTGGTTTTGATCTCGACAACCACATCTGATATCTTTGTCTCCACAACATAATCAGTGTACATGCATAAATCCACCACCACGTGGGAACAAAACAGCCCTCAAATTGATATCAACTCGAGACCAAGGGAGTTAGTCGGAGACAGACACTAAATAGAATTTTTAACCAAATCCAGAATCTGATTATCGTTCATGGACAACCCCTCTCGCGCTAATGATGAGATGTGAAGGGGGCTGGGGCGGTGACAGACAAATGCTCGGCTGGCGAATTGGACATTGCTGCTTTATCTGATTGCATGATATGGTTTCGGTGAATGCGTCTTGTTGAGAGCTGAGGGGAGAGAGGGAGCGGGTCTGAACGATTGGGATGTCCGCGATTCACTGGCACGACGCAGCTTGCTAGCCTTCGTTTCGTGGGCCAGCAGGTGGTCGTTGTGGTCCTAAAAGAATGCCGCATGAGTCGGGGCGGTAGAGCGTAGATGCAAATGTGAAAAAAATGACATTCAGCACTCATGAATCTCCCAAAACCTGCTCTTTTGTGACCTTCAAGGAGTCGAGAGTGACTAGGGAACTGCATCAGCTTTGGAAAAAACCACGACGCCTTGTGACACTGAGATTTTTGTTACATTCCGATTTGTTACTATGTAAATACACAAGTAGTCGACACGAATACGCGGTTTCACATGGGATGAAAGTTCAAAGAATCAGGGATCATTCGCCTGGTTATTAGTCGAACAAGCGTTAAACATAGAGAAACGAGACAATAGCTGTTTGCCATAGCCAGCAATTGTTTTGTCTCTTTCCTATCACAGAAGAACTAGCTAACCTGATAACAAGTCTGAAGAAGATGATAGCGCAGCATGCGAGTCCATCTCTTGCAAGGCTGCTTCAACAGTCGCAGCAGTCCGGTGAGAAGATCGCCGGTGGCAGCGGTGGTGGCGACGGCGAGAAACTGGCCGGCAGTGCCGATGGGGGACAGGCGGAAAGCCTTTTCGCCAGGGCGAAGTGGCTTGCATCTGCCACCCACGGTAAGCACTCGTTCACACCGACTTTGTCCATACTACTTGCTCCAAGAAACCTGAACACTTTATAGGCCACTGACACGTGGTGATTGAATAGAAAGCTCTGAGTTGCAGGAAGCTGCATTTCACTATCATCAGCTAACAAATACTATTGGCCCTTTTGCGGTAGTTCCTTGGTCTTAAGTAGCCAGTTAATTATGCTTAATAAACCCTCTATAAGAGGTTAAGCTTAGACCACAGGCCATCTGTCTTGAGGTAGAACATATAAAACGACTTCTGAAAATGGTAGCCAATAAAGGCTACTTACCATTTACCAATAGGTTTATTGCAAACTGGGAGCACTACTAATCGCGTTTTTATAGCCTTGGATAAAGACACGTCTATTTGGCATATTCCCTGTTTTAAAAAAACATGGAAATAGTGCGCTACTACCAAGCTTTAGGATTCGACTATAATCGAGGCACAAAAGTACAAACGACAATACGTAATATTATATTTCTAGGAGAATAGGTGTCTTGCCTAAAACTTTCGACCATGGTAAAAATCCGTGACCTTGAATGAGGCCTTCTAGGGCAGCGTTTGCGTCACAATAACACATCTCGAGTGCTTAATTTTAATGCATTTTAGTAACACTAGTGGCTGGTCGTATGGACGCTTTCGTGGAAGAGGTTCTGAATCTGGCAAAATCAACTCAGGCAAAACACCCGCTGATAAAGCGATTATCCAGTGGCTGCAGCAGCACTTCAATCAGTAGTGGCACCCGTGAAATTCCCGTGCCCGCTGCTCCAAAATTTCCCTCCATTACCAATCCTCTGACACAAATGTCCACCGAAGTCCCTGATCCAAGTTTCACCTATGCTCCTGCAAACACTTACGACTACTCTCAGCGTGCTGGTTTCCCAGCTGCCCTCGACCTCTCCAACATGGTGCGCTCCAGCACCGATCGATTTGTTGATTATCATTCTCACTACGAAGAAAACAGACAAGCCGATTGGTTTGAATACGGCTCAGGTGTGCCTTATCAGACAGCGGAGGATGCTGCCTACACCCCCGCTACTTACATTGCCGCATATCATCCACAGGGGGCTGTCTCTTCGCAGGATTTCGTGTACTGTGGTCAACAATTCTACGACGCTTTAGGGCCACAAGTTGGGTCTGAATATCAGAGTTTGCAGCAGGGGTCAGTAAAAGTTGCGATTGAAGAGTTAGGAACGCTACCTGCGTCAACAGACGTTCCAAGTGCGGATAGTGGAATTTCGGTTAACTGTCCACAACGGTTATCGGTCATTACTTGAGGGTACGTTTTTCGTTAAAGTCTTGCTTACTCATATTAAAAAAGTAGAAACAAATTTTAGTCATATTTTAGATGGCAGTGGTGAACAAGCAAATGCGGTCTCAAAAATTCCTTTCCTTTGCTCTTCCCGATTTTTTCCACTGGTCTTTCATCGGCTCAGAAGGAAGAGTGTTTTCCCTACACCACCACTTGCCTCTACTTACTTGATGCATTTAGAACGAACCAAACCATAATAATCCACATGGTAACCAATCATGACAGGCCCAGAGGGCCGCAAATTGACTTGTCACAATTGCTTGTCTTTTTCCCTCAATTCGTTTATTTTTTCATGTAAAAAGGATGCACCTACCCAAACAAATTATAAACACGAACATCGATGTATGTATGCAACGTAAGAAACAAATCTTACCCATCGACAAGCACACACACACTCGTGTTGCCTGTTTCCCTTTGGCCCCTCTCCCAAGCACTCTCTCTCCTCTCTCTCTGGCTGTATCTACGTGCAAATAAATCACTGTGATTGTATGCTGCTCGTCTTTGAGAAAATTAAAGGGATTCCGCGAAAAAACTTTGTATGTCTGCAGCATGGACCGAAGTTCGTGAGTCAATTGAAAAATGAATAGGCAAAATAAGCCAGTTTACCCAGTTTAATTAGCCCCTTTTACGCCAATTGAAAGGCACACAAAATTCCAGGATAGGTGAAGATAATAGAATTTTATCTAAATCATAATTCAATAGAACAATAGGAGTTGCCCCATGTAAAGCCAGCGGTGGCTGAGGAATTCCATTTAGTCACTTTTGGATTTTAAATTCTAAGGGGAGTGAATTGCTTGCGGTAAATGCTTGTCTTAGTGGTCAATTAGGCCCCTTAAACAGTACATTAGCCTGCTTAATTATTTAATTACCTGACTGGTGAGCAGAGTGCGTGATAGGAAGTTTGCTCTACCTGAGCAGAGTCGCTACGCGAATAGTGAGCCCTTGCGCTTGCCTTCTTGAATGGATCGAGCCATGAGGTCTTAGAGTTCAGGCAGTGACCAGCGAATTAGCTAGGCTTCACGCTATAATCTACGTTAAATCTACTAGCTATAAATTGGCGGTAAATTAAATGCACTTGCAATAACTGGCAGGAGTCCCATTATCAGTCTTGCAAAATAATAGATTTTTGTATTGGTGTTCGTGGGATTTCTGGACTACGTGACATTTTAGGTATGGGTAATAACTATGCTGACAGCTCCTGTTGACAGGCAGGCAGCAGCAGCAGCATCAGCTATTATCCCGAAGCAAAAGAGTCTCTTTGACATGGGACATAGTCAATGTAACCGAAGTGTACATGTCCGGAAGTCGCTGCGCGCACAGACAAATGTGTGAGTCAAGTCACTGCAGCAATGAAACATTTTCGAGTCTCCTCTGCGCTACGATGGCTGACCTTCAATGCGCGTGCGCACAGAACTCCAAATAGGGGACAACGATGCTCAGTAAAACGGCATTACTGGACTTGGCCGTGGACATTATTAAATGAGCGCATTCATGGGAGCACACACACACATATATTGTGCACATGGGTTAGCATTTACAAAAAAAACCACCATGGCCGGTAAATTGCACGCTTTGTGTAAGACAAGCAGCAAGTAAGGGGAGCGAACTCTTATCGGAGATAAGAAATCATTTCGCAGAGTTGCCAGTGGTGGATGCTTTGAGTTTATGTTTTAAGTCAACGAAAAGGTCAATCACAAGTCGTCATTTTCCGTTTAAGTTAAATCTAATGGCCCAGTTAAATTGGGTTGAGAATGAAAACGCCCACAGAGACAATACCCGCATGTTGCCTTGATAAACTGCAGCACCTAGTAAATTGGCTCTTGTTTCTGAACACTGTGACCAGGTTGTAGAGCACGATCATTTCATGATATCTCTACATGACAATTCGGCTTTCATGTTCGATTCAGGGTCCTTTACGTTAAAAACGCTAAATGCTGCCTTGGTTTTCTCTTGCGTTGGCTTTAAGTCAATCCACTTCCCAAGACAGAAACTCAACATTAATTAGCGAACGACGTATTAGATGACGCTAATTAATTTAAAGGGAGGTTGAGTGGCTCCAATTAGCGGAGTTAGGTGATTCGCCAGATATCAATCTGTAGTCCGGAAACACCCAGGTTATGCCTGTTTACTTTCAATAAAATAAAACACTAGAAGATTTCATAGACCTGGTTTTTTAAGTTATACAGGAGGGCGTAAAAAGCACCCAATTCCCTGCCAAATGCTTGGCAATAAATCCTCCCAGTGGCATAATGTCGGATGAATAGGATAGGAGGCTGTCAGCTAGTGTGTAGCATAAATGAGACCTGATATAAAATATGCCAAACAACATTCATCATCTATCTTAAAGTTGTTGTTTTGTAAAATTCTGTGCATATTCAAACAAAAGTTGCGTTGCTGTAATGTTACAGCTTCGCCAATGCAAAAATAACCCAACAAAAGAACGTGTACTCGATAATTATTACTATTATGGGCAACACAGCTGAATCAATAAGCGAAATTGCGCAGCATGACTCAGCATTTAACCGACCATTTTAGTAGTGTAGTTGTTTTTATGCATACGTTTATTTGAAAATGGAACGATAGGGACAAAATTGGTATTAATTTTTGCCTATGATTATTTAGAAACCGATAGCGCATTTAGTGATAACTTCCTATGAGTAGATGAAGATAGTAAAATTATCCAACTGTTAAAGGGCAAACATTTTTGTCTAGGATGAAAGTAGATTTCTGATTTCAAAAACAAACAATCTCAGGTTTGACTTTGCAGCAATACCAATGCACTCAGGCAAGATTGAAAGCCATCTGCTTTTGCTCCTCCCGACTTTATTGGAGCACTTCTAATAGACCTTGCCCAATGGTATTCCTAGCAATGTGCTAACCATTCCGAATTTGGGAGGCATTTGGTGGGGCTGTGATCTTCAGTCGTGTTAAAGTGGATTTGGCAACTTCCGAGTTCACCCACGTACTTGATCAGGCATGCTTTTGAATCCCTTGAATGTGGTTATCTTTGACGAATTTGCATTTTTTCTGCGATGACACTTTTCGTGGATCTAGATATACGTAGCTTTAAACTATGTAATCGGAAAGAAGCATCGATGGAACCTCGTGGAGTGGACCTTCCAATGGGCCTGTTCAAAATGTAACAGAAGAACCCTTCTTTCACTCGCGTACCTCACCCTCTCTCTAGACTTGACACCCGCAGACGCATCGAGCGTAAGTGTTGTGCTGTCATCTGAAACAATGACAGAGGCCATTTTCACTACCACTGTGTCTAACAATGACACCAGCATGGATTCCACAGTCCCACGGGACTATAAGGTTGTGTACCGTGGCACTCCTGTCGGAGATGGAGCAGAGAGAAACAAAAAGCTCAGTTTGTAATTCACTGGAGTTGTAAATGACGCCAGCTGTGCCTTATCGAACATAGATTATAGCCGCGGATTATGCACACACACACATTTTGTGCCAGAAGCTACACCTGCCGCAGTTAATAATCCTTTGTTTTGCTAAACTGGTTTCGTTGGAACACTATTCAAATCCGCCATTGGCAGTGTTTCATTGGTTGTTGTGTACATTCACCGTTTTACCTTTGGTGCTTACTTCACTTATCGTGGTAATATTTGTTTAGGACAATCCGGAATAAAAGGTTTTAAAAGTGCGGATTGTCTTTGCCATTATTTGATTCCGGCAAGACTGTCTGTTATTGTTTAAGTTGCTTTTATTTACGTTGAATGAGGTATAAAATCATGCTCTTCGTTCCTCGGAATATGACCAAGGTGGAGTTTCCTCAAATTGACAAGCTGAATGCGCTACTTTGAGTTGAAAAAGCAAAACCTCAATTAATTATTAAAAGACTCAAAAGTAGGAATCACTTATATCAGCATGGAAAAACGTTGATTTCATGAGAAAAGCTATGGGTTAAGACGTTCCCCCGCGGGTCCTGGGAACGGGTGCAGCAATGTTAATTATTTATTGCCCAATTTTGAGAATACTGAAGGTGATTGTGAGCTGAGGATATGGGAAAAGGGGACATATGAGCAAAGAAAGTAAGATTAAGAATGTGGAAATTAATTAAACACAGTTCACACTTAATTACTGGACTCACGGGAATGTTTATTACAATGGGAAACCTCGGACTAACCGATGGGATCGGATCAGCTGTTTTCTGTGCAAGTTCAGACAAGTGGTTATCTTAATAACTACCCTGAATTTATCTTTTATTTCACAGTTATGTAGTTATGAAAGTAAAATTGGAACTGTTTTTGAGGCCGTTTTCTCATTAGCAACATCAATTAGGTTCCTCATCGAAGACCAAAGGTACTGTTGGCTGCGAAATCAAAACCTGGGCAAATAAGGCCTAGAGCCCTTCGCTGCCACTGACTTAAATCGACTAAGCCGACGCCAGTAGAATAACGAAATCGGCGTTGTGGAGTTGGGTACGTGTTATTTACCAAATTTTATCTCTAAATTTGGTGTGTAATTGGTCGTGTTCATCTCCAGGACTAATTTCTAGCACACATTATGAATGTTGTCACGTGTCTATAACGTCCTTCATGAAATTCGCACCTCGTACAGGGATGCGTTTTTTTGAAATTTTCAAGCAAGAGTGAAATCTTGTGGCAGAACTCAAAATCACTCCCTAAATATGCACTTAATAGTAACCTAGGTACATTAAGTTTAGCTTTATTGGACATTATTGCGCCTGGCAAGAAAGTTCTCAATTTGGCAACAATTTCCAGATGTTATAAGTTAATTTTTTGCTCTGCTATTTTAATGTGGTTTACCTTGTACACACCATTAATGTCTACTTCATCATATAAAGCACGAGGTACTAAAATTTAAAATAAAACATCCTCACGTTTTTACTGTAGACCGATATTAAAAAACCACGGAGAAAATGCCCTGACTTTCAGTCAGTAAAGTGCTTCATTTTTAAGAAAATTTCAATATTCACGATGTAAGTTC